GAAAGAGTAGGATGACAGAAATTCTTAACAAAGGACGGATGTTTCTAACACTGAAGAAACAATCCTTTCCATCCCCCCACCCTAGTTGTTTTAAGAAGCTGGTGAATGCTTTTAGCTGAAAATTCACACCTCTGGCACATAAGATTTCAGCCTGAATGACTGGATTTAAATTTCTTAGTGTCATAAACAACTGAAAGTGGACTTAGAGCGGTAAGGAGCAGGCAACCTTAACAACAAGCATAGCTTGCTGTGCCATCTTTTAATAAAATATTATCTGTCATCAAAATTAGCTAACCCTCTTAAAAATTCAGGCTTTGTGGTCTTATTTTTCTGCTCCCCCGCAGTCTGCTCCTAGGCTCCAACTGTATCCATGTATAATCTATGGTTGTTTTGCAGATCGAGTCACTACTCTTTGAATTATAATCCCTTTAAAGACGGTTAGAGATTTCTGCTTGGCCAGGTGCCACTTTCCTCCACCATTTGTATTTATGACATGACCATGATGGACATGATATGCCATAGCTGGCATAACCTCTGTCATCATTTGCACTCTGACAAACTGTGTGAAAAATGCTACAGATGCAGAAAAGTTGGTGCTTTACACATGGGCTGAGTAATCAGTTTGCGCAGGTGTCAGGGACTGTCAGAGGGACAGGGAGGAGGAAACCACATCCTTGTGATTATCATCACAAGCTCCAGGTGACCCAGAAGACTCTCAGTGATGGACAGTAATGAGGAAAAGAAAGGGAATTAGTAATTCTGGGAGGAAGTGCTCAGTGGGGAGAAAGAGGGAAGCAATGTGGTGACGAAATGAGCAAAATGAAGGGGAGTAAACAGCAGAGAAACTGAGAGAAATGAACATGAAATGGGGGAAAGAAACAAGGACAGGGGAAGAGAGCCAGCGCAAGACCAGAAGGGAAGAGCACTGAGAAGTGTTTATACAGATAGATGCACCAGAAGCCAGGACATTGGAGTGAATCCCAAACAGCTGTCATGGAGGAACCTGCAGCACATCCACGCTGCTGGAGAGAAAGGAGAACAGCAAAGGGTCTCACCGTGAATTTCTTGTAGAGCTCATAAGTGAGGAGAGGGTTGGGCAGTTCCCTGAAGTACAGCTTGCAGAGCGACCCCACGCAGTGGATGTCCTGGAGGTAAACTTCCCTTGTCAGATCCGGGCATTGGTCAGAAACAAACTCTTGTCTGAAACAATATGGAAACATAACAACGTAGGATAATAAGAGCTGTTAGCATCCCAGTACTCCACCCTAAGTACTCTTTTATGGCTAAAGGGAAAAAACAAACTGGAAAGCAGAAACATCTCTGCAGCCTGGCCCAGATTGTCTCCCAGGATCAGGCCCTGAGGTTTCAACTAGTTTCTGGTTTCCATAGCGGTCTCATGAGTGGACCTCAAACTGATAGAAAGAGATTGCTTTGTCTTGAAGTGAGAGAGAACAACTCAGCATTTGTGCTGAGACCCTCCAGGCCTTTCCCATTAATAGATGCAGAGGGAGAGATCTTTTTTATTTGTCATGGACTAAGCCCTGAAACATGGTATGTCCCTCTTACCAGTTTCAGAGATAGTTTCTCTTCTGCATCAATGTAGAGCTCTGTTGGCCCAAATCTATGCCTGAGGGACTAACAGTGAAAAGGTACCATGCAATGTGACCGACTCCTTCTGGCACTCAGACAGATGGCCCTTACCTCAGCTTTTGTATGTTGGACGTCACTCCTGAGAGGCGATATATCCCATCCACAATGCCATGAGTCTCAATGAACTCCGCACAGCTCTTCAGCACGTAGGGAACTAGGAGAGGAAAGCAAGGCAAGATGCCCAATGAATATACCCCGAGAACTTCCACAAGTCACCACAGAGGAGACAGTTTCATGAAACAAGAGCAGAGGCTCTCTGCGGATGCAGGGAGAGGTACTGCAATGGGAGAAATAACAGGCCAAACCAAAAATAAACCCCACAAAGTGGGCATAGCTGACTTGCAGAGTGAGGATATGCTATGGTTGGGCCATGCCATATGATAATGACTGAGTCTGAAGTCACAGAAATATCGTGGGAAGAAAGGTAGCATTTCTCTCTCTCCCTTTTTTCTTTTCTATCGAGAAAAAGAGGCAATTTCTTTCTAATTGAAAGCATGAGGTAAAGCATGAGGTCCTGGGAACCTCCCCCCTCCCCAAGATAGAGCTCCAGCTTCACTGAATCATGCCAAAAGGTCTGATTGGCTTGGATAAAAATCAGAGAAGCATTCACACTTCCATATAAGCCTACAAACCCACAGTTTAGTGCTCATAAACTCCCACAGAGGGGGTATAAAGTTCAAATATTGACTAGATCTGCACACTGACAAAATCTGACGTTGGCTTCAAAAGAACTCCATCAACATAACCAGCCAAAGACTTAATCAGCCTTAAAGCTGAGAGGAGCCTGAGGCACAACATTTACATCCAGACCTGGACCCAAACCATATGTTTATTTTTTTCCCCATTATATAGGTATAGGGAACCCTCATCCTCTTGGTCAGACCAAGCCTCCCTGTCCCCAGTACTATAACAACCCTAGCTATAACAATAACAGTAAGAGAACCCTTCCTTATTAGGTGCTAGAAACTACTATGTATTAAACGCAATGCTTCACACAGCCATAAGCACAAAAGTCAGTAAATGCAGAAGTTAAATTTCCCTGCTGTAATGCTGACGCTGCTGCATTATGCATTCAGAAAGCTGTATGGAGGAAAACAGACTAAGCCACACATTTGACTGCAAAGCCAGGCATAGCAATTACTGCATCTTTGCAACACCACAGAGATAATGCCTCCAGCTAGACCTTCCCTGACTACTTCTGCTTGAAGTTCAGGCCCATAATGGCATTAACGTGCTTCATCAGGCGGGATCCAAAGCCAACACTCCAAGGACAGCCTGAACAAAAGTCAGCTGGTACATTGTTGTATTTCTCATGGGTGCCACCGAGGCCAGAGCCAGCTCATCGGTGGACTTGCCCCTACCAAGCTGCCCAGGGCACACGCTCCAGTGAGGAGGACTCCCAAGCTGGCACCCACCTCAGTGACACATTATTATTGAGCCCAGTCAGTCAGGGAAGTGGTACCTTTCTGCCTCCCGACTCTCACCAAGGGAGGTAAAGAGGTCCTTCTTGTGTGTACCTTCTCTTTGGGCCAACCCAAATGCACAAACACACAAAGTGCCAGAAACCAGAATGATCCAAATAGACTAATTCTCCTCAGTTAAAGGAGCCTCTCCAAAATAACAGGGAAAATTTGACTTTATGTATTTAGAGCAGAGACCCATAATGCGGGTAAATTACCCATGCTGTGTCACACTCCAAGCCCTTGGGCTGATTTTTAAGACCCTTAAGTTGTTGGGATAAGACTAACAGCAGAGCTTCTGGCAGTGGCCCTAGCCTACTACAAAAACAATGTTCATGGGAAACTATGAAATCGCCAAGAGGACAGTGGAAGTCTACACAGTCAAATCTTCGTCCATAGCAGTCACAGAGCTGTAGGATTCTCTCCTCAAGGACTCTTGAGGAGAAGGTACATCAGCGCCTTTCAGAAGGAACATGGGAAGCATTCATTTCAGTGCCTACAGCACTCACTTCCTAAGAGGACTAGATAATGTGGAAGGAGAAAGAACAAAAGAAAAGTATGAAATTTCCTTGAAATCCTGCCAAGTGACATATCTAGAAAGAGGACCTTCCTACCTCTGAGTAAGACATGATTATCTGTAACTGCAGTAGGGAACTCAGATCATATGATGATGAGCATGTTAGAAAAAAAAAAAAAAAAGGAAAGGCAAATGACTTCAGGCCTTTAGTTTTTGCTGAGTTTTAAGTTTCTGTGGGATAAATTAGGTCCAGAGGCCTTAGGCAGGTAAGCAAGCCTCTTATACAAAAAGAAAGGAGAAGGCTAGATCCATCTGTTGAGGACGAGTAAGCAAAAAAAGGGGCCTGAGGGGAATAATCTGTAGCAAACATATAAAATTCAACCTGTTTTTAAAAGTGGGTGAAGACTCCACAGCAGAGACAGCTTTATTGACTGCAGACAGACAATATGCGCTGAGCTCTGCAGATATCTCTTACTCCAGCCCTGCAATCTTCCCTGCTTTTCCAGCCCTGAGCTTCTCACATATCTCTGCCAATGCCCTTCACTCTTCATGTACATGATTTCCTGCCCTACCAGATCTTTGGTTCTTATGAAGAGAAATAGCCAGTTACATCAAAATGTGTGGCAGTTTTGTGACGTCAAAAAAAAATCCCACATAGGACACATTTCTCTCACAACCAAAAATTACAGATCTTTTGACCTCAGATCCCTGGAGATGAAGGGACTGCATCAGCTTCCTGCAAAGCAAGCCCCTAAATGCTGCGCTTGTATGAAACTGGAGCACAATAAATGTTTTCTTTGAGCAGAACCTGCAGCTCTGAAATTCCTGAGCAGCTCTGATCTCCTACAAAGCTGAGTCTTTTGGGCACTCGGGGGAGGTGAGGTTAGAGTGGCAGCGAGCAGCTCCCTCTCAATTCCAGACGTCTCTTAGGTGGTTTGATAATTTCGGATGTGGCTCCCGACAAACCAGAACAAAGGCTGTGATCAACCCTAAATGCCCGAGGGTACAGACTCTAGCATGTGCTTTACAACAGGACTCAATTGGCCTTACAGGGGCACACGTAAATCACAGCGCTGGGTCTCTCCCGAAGGAAGATCAGACTTGGAAGGGGATTTGTAGCAGGGGCTCTGTGTGTGCATGCAGGCACAGAAAGGGGTGGGTGGGGGGGTGTCCAATCTTGACACTTCTATAATTAAAACTGTGCTGGAGGCTTAGAAGTTGGAAGAGGCAGCTGGTGTCACACAGACCCTACTTGTTCTGCCAGACAGCCAAACTGTCCTCATTTAAAACTACAATAGAAACCAGATGGAGGAGGAGAAGAGAGCGTGGAGCAAGGCATCAGTCAGAAGGGAAATTGAGTTATAAACATACTGCACACAAAAGACAATACTTCTTTTCCCCTAGACAAAAATAAACCAGAAGGGCAGTCACAGTAACTCATTCCACTCTCACTGGATATCACTTCCAACTCAGTGTACACATTCACCTTCACCAGAGTTTTTTCCATGACCGCAGCTCATGCCACCTCCTTTACACACGTGTGTGGCTCCGCTAGGTCAGGTATCGCACCTGCCTCCTCTCCCCTCCCGATCCCACTGGCTTCCAGTGCCAGCGATGTGTGCTGAGCCTCCTGCCTCCCGGCATTTCTGGGAAGGGGGCATCTCTCCTTTCTCCTGTCCCTTCCCAGCCACCAAAGCTCTCCACCAGCCAGCAAGGTGCTCACCCCTTGCCTGCCTGACAAAAGCTTCATCTGGCACAGGGCCGAGCATTTTGGATCAAAGTCATGGAGACCTTTAAGCATGCACCTAACTAAATCACCAGGCAGCCCTAGTAGGAGGGAATACTAGGAAGAGAGGGGAGTCGTTCCATCTAATGACTGGTGGGAGGATGGCGTCCCAGTCTCCCCAAAGCCAGCAAAGAGCAAGAAAGATCCTGGTGCAGCTGGAGATGGAAGCAATGCCCTGTAGCTTTCAGTCCCACTTTCCAGAAGAAGGTTTTAGTCTCCATGGGCTACAGAGGGACCCTAGGGAGGAGGTTGCTACGTCAGCCACCCATGCCAGTCAGAGCAAACATTGTTCAGTAAGACTGTGCTTAAAGCTAGATAACCTGGACTGGGTCACGTATTCAGGGTACACTGTATTGAAATGGACTGAATAGCAGCATGCTTCATTCTTTTTTGTCTTTATCCTTCTGTTGTTCTTTCAGAGGGCTCCTTGCAAGGATAAAAATTAGTGACAGAGCTACTCAGGTACTCCTTAGTGGTTGGTTTATGCCACACAGAGAAGGTTTCATGTCCTCTCTAATTTTATTTTAATTTTAGTTCAAGTAACAGGAGAATAAATGCAGACCTTTCATTTCACCTGAAACATCAACTTTTTGATGTTTGACCTGCAGGAAATAGTTTAAGGAGTTTTTTTAAGTTTTTCCTAAAAATGAATTTTGTGCCATAAAAAAAGTTGCAGGCATTTCTATTTCACCGTTTTGGTTTTGTTACGTATTAGTATTTTTTTAAATTGTCTTCCATTGCCCTCAATAGCAGTGCATGCTTCCTATCATGCTATGTCAATAGCATGACAATAAAGGTCAAAATAGTCTCTTGTTTCAATTTAAATGACTAAATTAGGAAATATTTCCTCCTAAAAAATAAGTGCTTCAGTCTGTACTAACCAAGAGCTGTTATTTTGTACAAACAAAAAATAACAAAATAGTACACATTTTAGAACATACTACTGTATTAACTTGGCCTCCTAATCACAGGAAAGGAACAGCATTGTATAAAAGGCAACATACTTGAGAATCAGTATCTCTGATGTGACATTTTTCTGCATTTCCTGATGCTTCCTGCTTTAAATAATGAGTTTAAATGCTGATTCACTAGGTTTTTTTTGTTGGGGTTGTTTTTTTTTTTTTTTTTGCTGATCTTGTCTGATTTTTACTAGACGCAAGGTTGGCTGAGAAACAAATTCCAGAGGAGATCAAACTGTGCTCTCCTGCCTGCATCTTGCCTGAGCTCTGGTCCAGCATGGCAGTCACGATTCCAGTTTGCCTCCCAATACATCGCCCTAACCCGTGGCAGCTAAGGATAAAACCTGCTTTGCCCCCAGATACCGTCTCCCTTGCCTTCCACCATCTCCTTTTCAGCGGTGGCCAGGGATGGAAGGGACCACAGCATCCGAA